GACTAGTCTGTAGATAAGCAAAGCAAATATATCCTCAAACGCCAATGTCCGATCAGCATTAGCAAATAAAATGGCTTTTCCAATCAAGAACTTAGAAGTCAAACCCTTAATGCTTCCCTTAAACATCAGATTAGCATCAATATCGAATTTCGTCAAATGGGTAGCTGCAACAATATCTTGGGACTTAAGAACTTCCTCCAAACCAATATAAGGAACCTTATCAGAAACTAGTATACCCAACAAATAAGTATACTCCTCCAAGGTTGGCAATAGCTGATAATTTGGAAAAGTAAAGCATCGGTAGACAGGATCATAGAATTGCACAAGGGTGTTAAGAATTACGGCTTCAATGTTGGTAGAAAGAACAAATAGAAGCCTCTTATAACGAGATCTAAAGCCTGAACAATCAACTACCAAGGACACTAGCTTTCTCAAATCTGTAAGATCGGGAGTTCGGAAACCGTACTTCTGAGTGTTTCTCCTTCCAATATCCATAATCACAATATCTGCGATGTTTACAAAGGAAAATCTCTGAGATCCTTAAAAACTGACTGAAACAAAATTCCCATGAATGCATGAGTGCAAGATGCAACACCCACAAACAAGACACACAAAGCACACAGGTTCAAAGGTTTGGCACGAGTATGGAGCCAAAGATAAGAACCAACCCACAGTGGTATGTACTAATGTTATTGCATCACCTGTAGAACAAGGTTCTAAAAAGTTCCCAGAGTCATAATTTCATCTTTTGGATATTATCGGCTTAAACGACTACTCGTCGGCCAACAATATTCTCAAGAGAAACTCGTCTGAGTGTGGCATCGCGTAATGACTAATTCAAGTCTACACCTGAATAGCCATCATATCACGTCCTAATAAGGCCAAGATGGGTTAAAGGGTTCTAAGGTCCTCAGTTTCTCAGGCTCCCAGGTCGGAAAAAGTAATGACAATTACGACTACTCGTAAGACATCAGTAATCCCAAAGGGGCCACCATTGAGCGGGGGATCTCAAGTCAGCTTAGTAAGGACTACTCCACATAAGCCAACAAGACTATACCACCCTTTTATCATAAGTGCACTCAAGTCCGAGTATAGGACTTATCTCACCACACAGATCACCAGGCACCGAAATAGAACAAGCAATAACAAACAAGTCAAACAAAAAGCAATAAATAAATCAAAGTAGACAAAATCCACTAGGAATCCAATTTTCGCCACAGAGTCGCCACTTTTCTGTAGCGAGAAAGTTTGTGAGTGTAAGCTATTAATTAACTTAACTCAAAAAAATGCAAGAGTCGTCACCACACTTTTAATTTATCCGAAAAAGGAAAGGAAAAAGAGCGAACAAAACCAAAGAGCTCTAATATAAGAACAAATAAACAGAGATCTGGGTAAGGGGGTTGGTTACGCAATGGGAAGGTGTTACCACCCAAAACGTCGATAGTACTATATAGGAGCCTTTTAAAATATTTACGCTTTTTGGTTTGAAAAAGGTTTGTTTGACAAGAGATTGGGGAGATGAGAAGATAATTATTTTTTATATTTTTTTGTGTTTGGAGAGACTTATCGCCTCACGCATACGTATCCACAAAGTGCAAAAAAGGATCAAAACTCCATAGTTCGTGGTACAAATAACAAAAATTTGTTGGTTTTGATTAATTTTAAATGTAAAGATAAGTTATCATTTTAAGAAGTAAACTACGACTAGTCACCCACAAGTATAAGACAACATTTGCATCACCTAAAGATGGAGGATTTTGCTTGAATTATCAACAAGTCTATCATTCAACTTCTAAGTGGAAAATGTCAAAATCTTAATACCATAGAGAATAGAAGAATTATATCTCAACTATGAAAATGGCTCATGTCTAAACTTTATGAAAAGTTTTAAAATGAAAAATGCACAAAAGGCACAAAAGGCACAAAAGGAGTGGTGAGTTTTTTTTTTGTATTTTTATGTCTTTTGAAATTGGTCAAAGCATGATTAACATTGATTGACTTTTATTAAGAAAAACAAAGTCTAAAAATCACTTGACAAAAGTCAAGGTTTTATTATGAAAACGGTTTTGGAGTTTGAAAACAAGAAAGTTTTTGAAAAATGGAGAAGATTTTGAAAAGTTAAGAATGGGAGGAGATGAAGTGACTACCCTAGAAAGAAAAATAAAAGCTAGAGATAAGAATTATCTAACCAACTTGTAGCACACTCCATAGCAAGCAAAAAGAATTTCATCCATCTTGAGCATAAGCAAGTGAACAAGTCAAATAAAGGAAAAAATTCACAAAACTTCAAGCATAGGTAAAGAGACCTAATTCTAAGTCCAGGAGTCCAAGAATAGTCTAAGAGGTCCAAGATCTAAGAATAGTCCAAGAGCATAGCCACAAAGTTGATAGCACCAAATTTTTTAGAGGTTTTATCTTTTATTAGTGTTTTGAAGAAGATATGGTTCAAGTGGATAAAAGAAAAGAGGCAAAAACATAAACAAATATATGATATGAGATGATAAGCATAAAGCATAAAGATAAAAGAGAAATAGGGAGCAAGAAAGAAGCATAAAGATAAAAGAGAAATAGGGAGCAAGAAAGAAGCATAAACAAAATTAAAACAAAGATATTGTTAGTGAGTTAGTGATTAGCGGTTAAAACATATGATCAACGACGGTTAATTCTTGCACTTAGACCAAGGTTAATGAAAACTCATTAGAGCCTCATCATAACAAGTTTCATAGGTAAAGGACTTAAGACAAGCAATCAACCATACATGGACTTTCAAACATAAGTTTGAGCCACAAATGATCACTTTTTCTGATTACGGGACAATATAACGCTATGTTAAGCAATCGTAATCGGATTTATGTAGAAACCACAACTATCTGAGGCCGGTCAATAATAATGTTAGTGCTAATGCATGCTAGAGAAGTGATATGTATATCACTCTCTGAAAGCAATATCGCACAAAAAGAAAAGAGGTAATGATCTCATCATAATCAATATTTTTATCGATTAATCAAAGGTAGTCTATCACTATTTCAAAGTACGGAGAATTATCTCAATGAGCATTCATCCATAGATTTGAAACAATGAAGATTAAGACAACCAACAATCAATGATCCATAGATTTTATCGATCAAAAGAAAAAGAACAAGAAGAAAGGGAATATCAAATTGAATTACAAGTTCAAGATCATTCCATCTTTAAGTTCATCCACTCATCTTGGTGGATTAAAGCACTAAACATATCATTAACTCAAAGTACCTAAAATGAATTGAACAATTCACTTTAAAGATAGATTTGAATTTATGAATGTTTATTCAACTTTATCTACACCTTAAGTCTAATGAATTTATAGAGAAAAATGACCTTTAGAAGTGTATTTCAAGGCCAAAATCAAAAGAAAAATGAAGAAGAAAAGGTGGGAACCAAAACAGTCCCAAAACAGAGCTAAAATGACAAAATTATCACTGAGTAACCGGTTACCCTATGAAAACAGCAGCAAAACAGAAGCAAAACAACTTGAAAAAGGGGCAGAAACTTGATCAATCATTTCTACAAACACCTCATGATCAAGGATGCAATTGAGCACGAAATTTCAAGTAAAATAACAACAATCAACACCAATAGAACATGATATGCAAGATCCAAAGATCAAGCAACAACAATCAATAATGGATCACATTGTGAAAGATGTATCAAGAGCAACAATGGTGGATCAAGAAATTACCACTTCAAATCTAGAAATTCTTCAAACCAACTCCACAAACCCCACTTCAAAGCTTTGATCTACTAGAATTGAGGATAAAAAAGTGAATGGATGAAGGTTTAGCTCAAAGATTAGTAAATTTTAATGATGAACTTACTAATCTTTCAAAGAAAGAAAGAGCTTTTAGTGAATTTGGTAATTGGAGAAAATTGAAAGTTAAGAAAGAGTTTGACAACGTGATTTTGGCTATCAAAAGCTTATCAAATGAGAGAAATAAGACCTTTATTTATAGGATTTAGCCTTGAAAATTTTGATGGATTGAAATTTGGTTTGAAATCAAAATTTGGCTTGGAATTTGAATTTAGAGAGAAATTCAAGATCAAATGGTGATTAGTGAAGGTGTATGGTGGAAATTAATTATAATGAGGTAGAGGATTTAAAATGAAGTGATCTAGAATATTCTCATGTTGCAAAATTTGAATTTGGTGCCAAAAATGCTGTAGAATTTGAATTTGCCCAATTTTCACAAAATTCGTACAAGGTAACCGGTTACTCTATATCGGGTAACCAGTTATCACAGGCAAAAATGTTGAAAATTTCCTTTTTTGATGTGTTATCTTGGCTCTGGCTCGATTCTTTTTTCTTGTTAAAGAAGGCATGAAAATAAACACATGAACCTTAGAATTCTTGAATGAAAGTCAATCAAAACTTGGGAGACTCTTGATCAGATGATTTTGAATTATTTTACAGATGAACTTTGACATTTCCCAGATGAAATTCACTCGAGCTGAGGGACTGATATTTGATACATTTGCTCCAAATTTTTCCTGAAAAAGTTAGTAAAGAAAAACAAACACATATTTTTTTAGATTTTGATTAATGGTTAGTAAACATAAACATAAACAAAATACCAAACAAGCAAAAAAAAACAAAGGTGTCTTGTGATCTCTCAAGAACAAACCTGCAAAGAAAGGCAAAGAATCAAAGTTTACAATCTTATTTGTGGGATGAGATGCAAATGACATGTGGGATCTTAGAGTTAAAAATTAGAGTATTACACTTAAAATGTAAAATAAATCATTCAATAGGAATTCATGAATCTACCGTATCATATCAATAACTTAAATTTTACAATATAATGTGACGGGATACATGATGGTGATTAGTTGACAGTATAAAAAAATTTTACACTATCAGTGCAGATCAATTAAATTCTATAATAAAAATATATAATACAAGAATAAGGTACATCAAACATGCATAAAATTGAAAATTTCCAAAACTATGATTTCTATGTTCCCCTTCACTTACTACTCATTTCTTGCAATTCTCTAAGTCTGGCTTCCCTGATGTCAAATAGACTAACAGGCACTGGTTTTGTATGGCCATGCAACTGTGCAAGATGAACAATGTCTTCTTTGGTTAAGTTTTTCTTCTCAACAAGTTCATTCACCATAGCATCAAGGAGAGTTTTATTTTGCTGCAGGATCTGATATGCAGAACAAAGTGGTCACTTTTTACTCAATAATACTCATTTATGTGAAACAATGAATGTTGTAAGATTGTGAATTCAATCAAAGATTCATCATCAAGTTCTTTGATCCTTCAATGAATCATATAATATACATACCTCTTTTGCACGTTCATAGCACAAATTTAGAATCCTCATTGCTTCCAAATCAATTTCCTGACAATACCATGCAATGAAAAATTGCGCACATGTATAAGTATTGGAATATGAGAAATGACTTTTGTACTATCAAATTTAGATAACTTTCACGATAGTTTTTTAAGTGGTTAATGCAGTTTAAATAAGTAGTTAGTTGCGCTTAGTAGATGATTAATGGATATGGTACTTGTTGAAACTCATTAACCACAAATTTGGACTTGGTAAACCATAATTTTCAGGTGTTTAACAAGAAACAGATTGAGAAAGCAAAACTTGAGACAGAGCCCGTACATTAATTCGGTCTGTAACCCAGAAATTGGATACGCCGTGATATTTATCAGAAAGCCCGAGAAGCAAGTACATTCTTGCTGCCAACCTAGCATTGTCTGCAGTTTCGGCCCATATTGTACTCAACTGAAATATTGCAAATAAAGTTAAAAGAAAAAAGTTAAAAGAATATTTCATGACCATAAACTATATTTATAATCAAAGATATGACAACAAATACAGAAACAAGCATACGGCCCTAGTAACATGTGTGCACAATGATATTGAAATCAAAATTTTAATTTACCACAGAAAAAATTGCGATAAAATCGTAATAAAAAATTCAATGAACTTAGAAAAAACCATCTCTCTGGCAAGTCCATCATTATGCTGTATTTTCATTTTTTTTTAAACAGACTTTTCCGACATGTAATTGAATCCCAGTCATAGAAATACAAAAGATACCTAGAAAGATGGTATTCTTGCCGTTCTTCAAAGCTAGTTAATAAATACCTTAAAACATATATAGGTTAAAATTGAGTTTTGTTCACTGCATTACTTGTATGTTCTGCAACTGTATTAACCTCTAGCTTTAAAATTACAAATAAAAACTAGAGCTGGGAATTTATAGTTAGCTAGTAGAAAGAATCTCTAACCCGATCTTTCCCAAACCAGATTTCATCAGCTGCACGTGGTGCTAGTTGAACAGTAATATGATCAAAGAGGGATTGCCGACTGCAGGATATTAGTAGTTACAAGTTACAAGAAAATAATAAGGGAGGAACTAAACACAATTTATAATGCAATATAATCAAGCAGTAATATAAAGTAAAATGAATGTGAAGGCAACATAGAGCCTTGGCAAACATTATCTTCGACTAATGCTAGAAATAAACAGACAAACACTTCATTCAGAGGGGCATTCACAAGTCATAACAGATAATATTTATTTAAAAAATAAAGGTGTCAAAGTTTAATTAAAGAATCCATACGTGAGCATTGCGTCGCTAAATTTGACAGAATCCAGTATCGCTCGAACATAACCCAATTCCCTGCCAGCTCTAGGTGCAATTGTGATCTACAAAAAAAGCAATAAAAAGCGTAAATGTTTTAGTTCCTCGTCATTAGCAGTCAGATGATGAGTATTAATAGGGAAAAATAAAGAGAAATAAACTCTAACAATTTATTTCAAATGCGTGTAGTGTCCATACATATTCAATATCGTCAAAATTAGGCAAGTTCATAGCCGCAACAGCCATTGCAGATTCATTTATAGCTATTTGTTCCCATTTCTCTTTGCTTCTCTCTTTTCTATCTAGCATTCCTCTCTCTTCCATTTGAGCAGCTTGTAATAAGTCATCGGTGGTAATCTGCAACAGTAAAAACAAGAAATGAAGAACTGCCAGCTACCATGTTACTGAAACTAGTAAAGCCTTTTCTTGTTACTTCCTCCTTTGACCTCTTTCCCTTTTTCTATATATACATGCAACCTTCCCCATGCAAATTAAAATGAATATTTTATGCAAGAAAGGATTTGATGTGGCATGCCATACAAGATATATCAGAGCAATCATCTGTTACCTATAAGAAAATATAATGAACAATAACTATCTGGCAAATACAGTTACTGTACATCTATAAGAAAATATAATGAACAATAACTATCTGGCAAATACAGTTACTGTACATCGTGGATTTATTACCTCAGTCCTTGATTCTCGCATCATATTGATAGCAGCAATCTCAATTATGTTGGCTAGCTCTGCACCAACCATTCCATCAGTCATACTAGCAACAATTTCATAATCTACATCTTCAGCTATTGGCTTTTTACGAGCATGGACCTATCAGAGTCATCAGGGAAAAATGAATATGCATACTACATTTGGTGCCATTAACCAAAAATCCACATCTCATATCAGTTTCTGGGTCACAAAACAAAACTGAATATTAAAGCTGACATTTAAGTAAAAAAACAATAGAATGCTACCTTTAGAATTTCAATGCGCCCAATTAAACCGGGTTTCGGGATAAATATTTTCCGATCAAACCGACCCGGTCTTACAAGTGCTGGATCCAGAATGTCTGGTCGGTTTGTGGATGCAATAGTGATCACATCTCCCCTTCCTTCAAATCCATCTAAGCACACCAGGAGCTGGAGCATTCAGCCAAAAGGAAACATCAACAAATTATATGCAAACTTTTACTTTAAAAAATCAAGCGGAAAATTCAGCGGTGTCATGGTTAACCTGATTAAGAGTAGCATCACGTTCCTGTCCACCTGAACCTTTAATCAAGCCACGCTTCCTTCCAACAGCATCCAGCTCATCAATGAAGACAACAGATGGAGCCTGAAAGTATAATACAAAACCTTTGCTAATTAGATACAAACATGAAGCTTGAGAAGTAGGTTAATTCCAAGTGATGATAATATATGTAATATGATAAAAAAGATAGGGCACTTATCAGCTCGAAACAAATAAAATGAGTAATAACAGAATGTGACAGGTGTGGATTATAATTGAAAAAAAAAAGTAACTAGTGAAAATAGGTTGCAAGAACCAAACTCTTGTAATTTGATTTTAAGCAAATAATAAAAATGTGAGGGTGTAATGGAAAAGCTAAAGATATACCCACATTTTCCTTGGCTTCTTGGTAAAGTGATCGAACACGAGAAGCCCCAACACCAACGTATATTTCCACAAATTGTGAAGCAGAAATAGAGAAGAAATTAACCCCTGCCTCACCAGCTACGGCTTTTGCCAGCAATGTCTTTCCCACTCCAGGAGGGCCACAAAGAAGAATGCCACCTGATGAAGTGACCAATTTAACCTTCATTTAGTCAAGTCCAAAGCACTCTCTCAATATTGAGCGTTTTGTTCTTATTCCCAATGCATGAATGAAAAACATTTTAACTACAAAAAAAGAGATCAAATATTTCTGCAAGCACAAAATTGTCAAAATGCTAGCGATTGTAAACTAAAACTGCCCTATAAAGTTTGACAAAAATACGTATTCCGTGATGCTAAAGCAGTTCAAACTATTCGTTAAATGATTAACAAAGAGTTAAGGTAAATGAGACCTGGGATTTTCACTCCTCTCCTTCGGTACATCTCTCCATGAGTGAAGAACTTGACAATCTCCTCAAGTTCAAGCCGTATTTTACCAAGACCGGCAACTTCAGTAAACTTCACATCGATGCCTCTCTCAAGATACTGAGGAAGCTTTTTTTTCTGCGCTCTTCGAACTCGTGCCCCTGATTTCATAAACTGCTTTGTCATTTTCAAATAATAATTCTCCTCTACTTCCCCTGGCTGACCTTCATCATCATCAGCACCAGCATCAGTCCACCCCATTTTGGCTTCCATTTCCTTCATCTTCTTCCTCTCCTCAGCATCAGCTTTCGCAATCTTAACCCTGTCCTCATAATCTTTCTTCTGTTTTTTATAGCTATACACCACAGTCCTATAAAAAATCAAGAAAAAAACCACTCCAAGTGCATTAGCCAAAAGTTTATCCCTTCCCATTCGATCCCAAAACTCAGCACTCATAATCGAACTGTTCTTAACTTCAAGCATTCTTTGACTATACTCTTTCTGCCTTTTCTCTCTCTTTGCTATCTCCTTCTCTCTCTTATCATTCCTCGCTTCCTTCTCTATCATCTCCATCTCCTTCTCCATCATCGTCACTTCCTCTTTCTTCTGCCTCTGCAACTCCATCCTAGCTTTCCTCAACTCCAACTCCTTCTTCGATTTCTTCTTCGGCTTAAGAAACCTATTTACAAACGAAGCCACAGGCTTATGAAGTGGAAGAGCCATCCAAATCCTAAACAACACAGGAAGAGGCACCTCCGGAGTCTTAAGAGGTGGCGAATAGGCATTCACACATATAGAATCAACATTCAAGTCCTCCCATAAACCCCAAAATTTTCCATCACTTTCAATTGATGGCAACACTGTTCTGAAAACTCTAGAATCCTCCAAAACAACAAAAACTGCCACAGCATGTTCCCTCAATTCCGCAGTAGAAGGTTTCACTATGTGTTTCAGCTTACCAGTGTTCTTCAATTCAACAATTTCTGTATAAGGAATGCGTTCTGAAACATCCGGAAGCCCTTCCATCCATAATTTGAGCTCCTCCGCAGTTAAAGCTTTGACTTTCTTGGTAGAACGCTTCTTACCCTTTACTGCAACGGCGGCGGAAGCGGCAGAAAGTTGGGGGAGTGAAGCGGAGATAACAGTGAGAGTTACGGAGAGGTTGAGGAAATTGAGATGGTTGTTGTTAGGGATTTTGTCCTTTTCATCATTTTCGGATTCAGGTGTATGAATTCGTGAAGAGATTGAACGTAATTTGTAGGGTTTTGGAAATCTTTTGAATTTAGGGTTTAAGAATTGTGATGATTGTGAAGATGAAGGAGGAAAATGAAAGAGGCAATGGGAAGACATGGAAATGGAAAATTGAATATTGTGACAAAAAAAAAAGAATGTTACATAGTCATGTTATGAGTGTGAGATAATTCATCGCCATTGATAACGATGAAGATGAAGAATAGAGGGAATTTGAGGAAGATGAAGCTGAAGAACAAAACTAGTCTAGAGTTGAAGAAAGAGTGCAATTTCTGTGGATAACTTTTTTTCTTCTTCTTCTATTTCGTTTGTTAATTTAAATAATTTATAGTTTTGCTTCTTTTTTTAATTTATCTCTATCATCTTAATTAAATATTAAATATATTTGGTAATTCTGTATTGTTGAAGATGGATAATAATAGTTGTTTGTTCTAAGTGGAAGTTGAACTCCCGTCAACTTATTTAAAACAAAAAGGTGTTTTTTTTTCGCTTGGCCGATCATGTTTTCAGGATAAATAAGTGTATGAAATTTACTTATGGTTCAGAACTCATTTGTGTTTAAGAACTCACTTAGTTAATCATATTTTTTTTAGATTTACTTATGAATCATATTTTCATAATAAATAAGTGCATGAGATTTACTTATGCTTCAGAACTCACTTGTGTTTAAGAACCCACTTGGCTAATCATGTTTTCTTGATATTTACTTAATGCTTTTCAGAATCCACTTGACCAATTATATTTTTTTGAGATTTACTTATGCTTTAGAACCCAATCATGTAATTTTTGTAAATCTTTCAACCTCTCAACAAGATATACAAGTCAATTGTCAATCAAGATCTCACGTATCATATTCATTCAATAATCAATAACATATGTTTAACTCGATGAAAACTTCAAGAGATGTCGGTATGGAATAATGAGAGGAAGGCGACATTATTTCTTGCACCTATACAATTCATTAAATATTAGTCATAAATTATGATGATGATAATAATGACTATGGCCCGAAGATAATTAAAGCAACCCAAATATCAAAATCCAAAAAGAAGAATCTAAACCCTTTTGTACTAAAAGATCTATTGCTTCCTGAATATTTTCTCCAACGTGTGTAACTTTATTATGTCCAACAACACAAAATACAATTTTAGCGTGAAAGATCCGTTGTCATGGTTTGATGTTTCTCAGTAAGAATCATATCTCTCTATTTACACATTAATAATATCTAAGAATTCTCTTTGCTGCTGCAGGACAATACATCAGTTATTTATTTTCTACTTCATTGCAAAAAGTTTATCGAATTAGTTTGGGTATGAATTGTAAGAGTCACAACATGAAAGTTTATCGAACTAGTTTAGGACAGTACATCAACTATGTATTCTTGTAGAAATTTTAAGACCTTAATGTTTCCGCATGTCTAGCTTTTATGTATGAAATATAAAAATTCTAACATGAAAGAAGCAAAAAGTTGCTTGCACTCCCATCTTGAGAGGTTACTTAGATAACTCACTACATGTTGTTTAGAGAGACAATCATTAAGTGGAAATCAAGGAGAAGTTTTTCAACTTCAAAGAGTGGTTATTAGTGGTAAAAGAATTAGATTTTCATCTTTTGTACTTAAAAAACAAGTCAAACCTTGAATTGACTTTGTCGAATATTGGACTAAACGGATCAGTAATAAATGGATATATCATTGTCAATATTACTTCTTTGTAATTAAATAAACTTTTCATCATCTTCATGCATACTTTCAACCTAACACTTCCATTGATATAAATTGTATACTTGCATCTTACTAAAATCTGCATGCAGTTTCTATCAATAAATATCAAGCATTCACCTTCATTTTTAATCATACATTTTGTCTAATAGGACTTTAAATCTATACCACAAAATATTTTAAGCACTTGACCTCATAAACACAAGAGGATTTTGAAGCATAAGTAAATCTCATACACTTTTTTATTATGAAAACATGATTGGTCAAGTGGAAGAAATGCTTGTTTTGAACAAGGGGAGTTGAGGATCAAACAAGTAGCCTTTTTTCAATATTTTAATATCCAAATAAAATATATATATATATATATATATATATATATATATATATATATATATATATATATATATATATATATATATATATATATATATATATATATATATTATTTTTGATCTTGTATCTTAATCTTGCGGTTCGTTTTGATCCATTAACTTTTCAAAACGTTCTGTATTAGTCATATTTGTTATATTAGTGACGGATAAAAAATTCAAAAACTAGTCGTTAATTAGACAAAAAGGACTAATATGAGACATTTTAAAGAGTTAAGGGAGAAATATGAACTTTTTTAAAAGTTAAAGGGTTAAAATAAATCCCAAGATTAAACCAATATATATATATATATATATATATATATATATTACCCTTATAATGTGAGCGAATAAATCTTATACAAATAACGTATATTTAACACCATACTTTTTGTTGTAAATGTGTCTTAAAACCTTTGTTGATGAAGAGAAAGAAAACATATTTTGGAGATTGCATTTACCTCGAAAATCAGACGAAAAGTCGGGGGGGAAATGTTCGGTGAATAGTGTCACCACGTACGGTGAATAGTGTCATTCGTATGGATGAATAGTGATCTCCGTACAGTGAATAATGTTGCTCGTACGATGAATAGTATTTTTGAGTTTTCGAGCTTTTTCCGATTCGGTCAATAGATCCATGTGATTTTGGGCTTTGCTTGTAGGGTATTTGCTATTATAAATATGTATATCTTATATGTTTGGTGTGTGACAATCTTAGAGTTTTCACCAACAAGGGAGACCAAGGGTTTAAAGGCATAACATAGGATTTCAGCTATGCACAAAGAAAACCTTGGATTACACATTGGATTTGAGTGATTCATATATTGTGAGTTTGAGAGGTACGGAAACACTTGAGTAGAAAATAAGGTTGTTCTTAGGCGCCTTCAGGGTTGTTCTTGGGAACCTGAAGGCGAAGGCTATTTTCTTGTAACTCATCTGTAATATATTGTAGCAACTTTCTGAGTATAGTGAATTAGAGAGCTGAATCTCCCCAGAGTAGATCGTTTGATCAAACTGGGTAAACAAACCTTCTATTTTTTCTTGCCTTATTCTGTTATATTATCTGTGTGCGGATTATTATTGCTGAAGACCATTTATTTTGGTTGCTATTTTTCTCTACCTCAAAAATTGATATTTAATTTTGTCGTAATTCACAACAAGATTCACAATAAGTGATGTGGTGAGCGTGGAGCAAAGAGATATTGTTGACAAGTGAGCACCATGGTTAGTAGATGGCAGGTCGAGAAATTTTCTGACGTTGGGTTATGGAAAATAAAGATACAAGCAGTTTTAATTCAAGAGAAGTGTATCAATGCTTTGAAGAGTGAAGCATTGATGTCTGTAGGACTTACACAGGTACATAAGACCGAGATGGTGGATAAGGCCAGGAGGGCCATTATCCTGTGTCTCGGGGATAAAGTTCTAAGAGAAGTCGTCAGAGATATGTGGGCAAAACTTGAATCATTATATATGACAAAGTCTTTGGCTCACAAGTTGTATATGAAACAACAACTCTATTCATTTCGAATGGTGTAAAACAAATCCATAGTTGAGTAGCTCACATAATTTCATAAGATTATCGATGATCTTGAGAATATCGAAGTGAAGATTGATGATGAGGACAAGGCTTTGCTCCTGTTGATTTTATTACCTAGATCCTTTGAGCACTTTAAGGATGCCCTTCTTTATGGTAAGGAAGGTACTATTACTTTGGATGAAGTCCAGACGACGGTAAAATTCAAAGAATTTTCAAAGTCGAAAGATTTGAAGATTGAAGATAGTGGTTAAGGCTTAAATATGTCAAGAGAAGAAGGTGAGCATAAAGGTGTTAGAAATATAAGTCGGGAGTGTTTTATCATATCCACAGGGATTGATGAGAATATTTGATGTTTGTCGTTCAATGGTTTAGTGATTTAAGAATGAGGGTTTTTAAATTGGTTTCTATTTTGTAACATGAGTTTGTAAGAAATAAAGAAAGGTAAAATTTGGTTTTAGTTTGATAAAAAAGCATGCCAAGATTAGAGTTTACTAACCCGTCTTAAACGTATCCAATCAATCGAATATGTGAACTTAGTTTTAACTAATATAATCGCGTATCCTCGCAAAAACGTTCATCTCTAAAGCGATTTCGTGAATGTTATTGTTTCGACCGTTAAATGATCTCTCTAAATAACACTCGAAACAATAATCATTAAGATCAATACAATGCGAATATCAACTTCCAAATCTATGTCTAAAGTTTGTATAGTTGATAGATGAAGAAATTAGGTCAAGACTTGAAAAGTTCATGTCTAAAGCAATCCAAACCATAGATATAACAAAAGATAGCAAATAACTTCATCTATATTGATCAAAGCCTTGTTCACATACAAAAGATTGAGAAGAATGCATAAAATTATAACTAGCTACCTCTAACCTTGACACAAGAGGGGTTTTAGCCACCCATTTTCATGATAGTTTGAGCAACAAGTTTCAGAAGAAGGTTGATCAACATCTGAGTTGAATAATCGAGATTGGATGGGAATCTACCTTCTTTTTGTGAAATATGGCTAAGAGATGATGAAAATGGAGAAAACTAGGGTTTATATGCTAAAAATACAAAACTATGAAAAGTGCAAAAGAAAAGACATTTTGGCAAAAGTGGCACAAACTACTTATAAACATGCTGATGAGTTGTCAAATTCGCAGTGTGAAGATCATGTTCGCCTAGCGAACAACCAAAAGTGGCACATGAAGTGCCAGTGTACAGTTAAACCGCCCCTGAGATTTTTCTAAATATTCGTTGTGTGAGCAATCCTTCATACTACGAAGGCTTTACTTTAAACTTCGCACATCGAACTCTTGTCCAAATGCTTACTGCCTCAGGTTTTGAGGTCTTTGCTAGGTCTTTGCTTCTTCTTCGCTCCAGCGAACCCTTTACTACTTCCTTCGCACAGCGAATTTAGGTGCCTTTTCTCTCTGTATGAACAGTGTCAGGTTCCCAATGGCCTTAGCTATTAAGTTCGTTGTGT